AGGCCAAGCTGCCCGTGGCCAGGCCCCAGCTGGCACGGGGGGGCCCCCTCGGACCCCCCAGCCCTTCCTCCTGCAGCCAAGGAGCCCGATCGGAGCTGTGGATGGAGGTAACTCCACCTAACTGCCCGTGCTCCGTGTGCCCAGCACCCCAGCCCAGCCCCCGGGGTCCAGCTCAGCCCCCAGACCCAGGAGAGGCTGTGGCAGAGCCGTGCCAGGCCGTGGATGCTTCTGGCAGTTCATGCATCTGCATACGTCTGTTGTACAAGGAGTTTTTTTTTTCTTATGACTCCTTACCTTAAAAACCAGGCTCCCCACCAGCTCTGCCCCTGCCCTGGTGCCCCCCAGCTGCCTGCCTGTCCTGCCCCCAGCAAAGCCCTGCTGCAGCATGTTTGTCAGGGAGCCATCAGGCCCCTTGCTGTGGCAGGACTGGCCCCGGAACCTCCTGCCTCGTCCCTTCCGGGCGGTGCCTGGGGAACCAGCAGGACAGGGGGAGCCTGCAGTCACTCCTGGAGAGCTGCCAGAGCCTGCTGCTGGGCACGGCATGGCCAAAGGGTGCCCGAGGCCAGGAGCCCCAGGGCAGCCTCAGGGCTGCTGACAGGAGCCAGGCTGTCCTGCTGCCTCCCTTTGCTGGGCTGCTGGTGATCCAGCGTGCAGCCAAGGGCTCCACCTGTCCCTGCCTGCAGCCACTTCTCCCCGGGGGGATGGCAGAGGAGGGAGCACAGCACGTGGCTGCAGGAGCTTCAGGCAGGCGGGTGACTTCATACCCTGGAGGGAGGGAGCAGAGCTTTAGACTCCCTCTCCTCCTGCCTGGCCAAGGCCCTCCCCCTCCAGCCAGGGCTTGGTAGCTGGTCTTTTTCAGTTCATTACTCATCCCTCAGCCTCAAGCTGTTTTGCAGGGAGCTTCACAAGGTGGAGCAGCTGCTAGAAACTACCTCACAGAAAAAGTGAGGTTGGGAGGACCTCTGGAGGTCTCCAGTCCAACCTCCTGCTCGCAGCAGGGCTGGCTGCAAAGCTAGGGCAGGTCACTCAGGACCTCAGCCTGGCCTTTTGAACACCTCTGAGGATGGAGGTGCCACCACCTCTCTAGACCCTGTCCCAGGACTGCACCACTGGAGAAGTTTTCCCTTATATCCAACCAGTGTTTCCCATGCTGCTACCCAAGGCCTCCTGCCCTTCCCTGTGTCCCTCTGAGACAAGCCTGGTTCCTCAAGCCTACACATGCAGGATAACTGGCCACAAATGCCACTCACCAGCAAAGCCACAAGGCCATTTGCTGCTGTTTCCCCATCACCCCTAAACTCCCCAGAGCAAACCCCAAGCAGGGAGCAAAGCTGTGGGGGTGAGCACAGCACACAGCAGCCCCCAGCATCCCACTCCAGCTTTTTGGTAGAAACAGGCCCTGTGCAGGAAAATAAAGCCACCAAGTGATCCTGTGGTCAAGATGCCAGTGAGCAGCTGTCTTGCTCAGGAGGGCACAAGCCTTGGCCTGACAGTTTGCCCTGGGATTTTTCCTTTCATTGCTGTCTTGCTGAGATCATTTCTCACTGTCCCCCCTTCTCGGCAGCCTCCACTGCTACCCTGGCCTTATCTCAGGCTGCCAAATTCCAGGTGGCCCCGGGGAGGGCTCTCTGGCAGCGTGTGGGTGGCCCCTGCCGTGCTCGGGGTCCTCGTGGGGCGGTGGCTGGTGCCAGACACACACGGGGCCTGGCCTGGGGACACCAGCAGCAGGCTGCTGACCTCTGCTGGAGCCCGAGCTGCTGCTCAGGGCTGAGCTGTGCTCGGTGGATCTGCAGCCTCCAGCTGACAGCACTTGGTACATACCCACGGGTTTGTGGCACTTGTGGCTTCCTGGGAACGTGTTGTGGCAAACCACCAGTTCCCCTTGAGAGGGCAGCAAAGGGAGCTGGCATCTGCCAGGCTGAGCCAACCAGGCAGGTAGAAGCCACCATGCAAGCCAGACCGAGCTGCCTGTGGTCAAAGCTGCAGAGGAACAGATCTACAACCAGGATGGGTCTAATACTGGGCCCTGAGTTGCTACTCCACCTCCTCAAGGTAACCTGGCTGGGGGTATCATAGCCCAGACTACCCCAAATGCTGCACAGGGGCTCCCTCCCCACCTCCAGACCTTTGCTGCTCTGTCTAGCAGACATACAAGCCCACCTTTCATGCCTGCAGCTCTCTCTGAAGCTGTAGCACCCCAGGTCCACAGGCAGTTTCCAGTTTCCCTGCAGTCAGCAGAGTATCTCCACGGGAGTGTGCCCTTGGAGGGAGGCTCCCAGCCCCATCCAGCCTCAGTGCAGGGAAAGGAGTGAGGAGGAGTCAGCAAAGGCAGGATGAGAGAACGGAGGGCTCCAGCTCAAAGTCAGGACTAACCACATCCCCAATAGCTTCCCCACGGAGCTCCTGCAGCTCCTACTGCACTCTCACCGTGCCCCCATCAGCACCCTCAGCCCCCGTGGGATAGGAGCTCACCCCCAGCTCTGCCAAAAAGCTTCTGCTGCCCCTTGTCACCCACCAAAGCTCCTGGGACCTCTGCCAGAGCAGCACCAGGACAGAGCCACGCTCTGGAGCTCTGCTCAGGCAGCATTGAAATGCAGGAGCTGTGCTAGGCCTAATGATGAGCAGAGCTGCCAGACAAGGAGCTTGTCCCAGCTAATTATCTCTAACGAGGGCAGAGTGTCAGTGTCCCTGAGGAGCTGGGCAGCAGCTTCCAGCTCAGCTCAGCTGCAGAGGAGAGAGCAGATAAGGGACTGTCCTTGTGCTGGCCGAGCTGCAGAGTCATTAATTAGGCAAATGTGACCTTGTGGGCCAGTCTGCTCTTGAGAAGCTGGACTGGCCGGAGCCAGGGCTCTCAGGCAGGCTGGAAACCCTCCAGCTTTTGCCATCCAACCTGTCCCCTGCAGCACAGAGCCTCCTGTGCCCGTGCAGAGGTGGCAGAACCCCTGTCTGGCAGCCCCTGACCAACCAGTCCCCCCAGTCAGGGGCTGCAGAGCTGCACCACACTCACCTTGGGCCTCAAATACCCCCTGTGAGGGCTTCATCCTGTTCCCTGGCCCAAAAAGCAGCAGAGGGCTCTGGTCTTTATGACAGGCCACCATGTAGATCACGTTGCCCTCAACCTCCTCCCTCGCTCTCAGCCACCCAGCACAGCCCTGCAGGGGCTCTGTGCCTACCCAGCAACTGCCTCTGTGGCACCTCTCCCCAAAATCTGTGAGGCAGACATTAAGGGGCTGGGAATTTCTGCTCCCCTGTGGCCCTACTCTGTTTCTGTGCAGAGAGGACCATCCACATCTACCAGCCCAGTTTCTCTCATCAGGGGTCCCGTGGCTCAGGAACCAAGACCATACACTTGCCCTTATGTGTTGGAGAGGGGGAATATCACCCCAAGACTTGGTTCAGGTAAAGTCTCTTCTGGGGGGGCACACAGAAGGCCCATCCTGCAGGCTCTGTGCTTGTCCTTCACCTCAGAGCTGAGGGGAATGGGAGGAGAGGCTCATTTTATCCCAGCCAAAAACCCACTGCAGGACCAGGAAGCTTACAGACAACACCAGTGACACACAGCACTGGTCACTGGCACCTCGTTCTGGCAGCTGCTGTTGTAACACACTCAGGAGCCACGAGCATCAGAGAGAGCTTTACTGATATTCCCAAAATGCATATTTCATTTCAGATCATGATCAAGCTCTGAACAGCAGCCAACTACTTGTGCAGGCAGAAGAGCCACGCCGGAGGCCAAACTCTTTCCTCAGCCCTCAGGATGGTTCCTCCCTGAATTCAGGCTGTCAGACTCTTGAGGTGGCCCCTTCCACACAGGAGTGGCTCAGACAGAAGACTCACTGAACCCCCCAGTGTGACCTGCAGGAGGAGTTTTGCTCCAGAGGTTTCTCTCCTTCTACTGCTTCTGCAGTTCTTGCTCTTTCAGCTGGTTGACGAGCTCTTCTGCATACACCTTAAAGAGTGGGACGGGGTCCTGAAACCAAGCAGAGGGTCAGCCACTGAAGAACAGTGAACCTGGGCAGCAGCAAGAGGTGAAGTCTCATGGGGAGCCCCAGGAGGGAGTGCTGCAGGGGTGCCAACAGTTAAAGCCAGAGGAGGTGAGGAGGTTTGTTTCAGCAGCTGAACAAGGCAATGTGCTGTGCTGCTGCTCAGCTCTGCGACCTGGCAGACAAGCTCCTGTGTGGGACCCCAGCAGCCTTCCCAGATCTGCCTGCAGATGAGAACTGTCAGAAGCTGCCAGCGATCCTGTTCCTCCTAAAAACACTTCCCTCCCCCCTCATGGTGCCCTCAGTCAGGGCTACACGGAAGCACGCTGGGCAAACATGCCCCTGGAAGAAGCTGGAGGCCCTCAGGGCTCAGGCCCCAACACCAGCTCCTGAAAACAACTAGCAAATGTTCCTGAACAGGCTCAATTGTCTCTCCAGCACAGAAGCACAAGTAGAGATGCTTAACTCCAAAATTTAAGGCTGAGAGTAGACTCAGGCAGGCTGGGACTGGTGCTTCTAACTGCCCAGTGAGCTCCTGACCTTTCTGCTCCTGCTGCAGCCACAACAGGAGCCAACAGGTCTGGGGGGAGACCCCACTGAGAGACCCCACCACCCTGGGAAGTCCTTTGGCCCCAGCAGCTCTCTGGTGTCCCCTCCTCTGTGTTCTGCTGCTGGGGAGCTGCAGGGACAGGGGGTCACACACGGAGTGGCCCCTCAGCCTGTGCCCACGTGTCCCAAAGCCACAGCACAGAGGCTGACCCAGCAGGGTGGGAGGGACGTGCTGTCCCCTGAACACCCCTCCCCGGGCTGGGGCATCACCTGGATGTGCAGTTAAGACACCTCCAGCCCTAAGGAACTCACCTTTTTTTCTAGGAGCCTCTGTTTTTCTATTGCTTCTTCTAAACTCAAGCCAACCCATTCAGCCTCCTCTTCTGGGATCACAAATTCCTGTGATAGAAGGAGGAGCAAGCAGTACAGTCTCTCCAGGTGACTGAAATGTGAATCCTCTCTGTGCCCAACCCACACAAACACACCACCCAGTAGGGAAAATTATTACAGGCAAATCTTAAGCCACTGTTCCCTCCTTTCTGGCAGCCAAAGGCTGCTCCCCCCTCCCATCTTCCCTCAGGGAGGGTCCTGCTCTCTCTGAGCAGTCGTGCCTGCTGCAGTCCCTTCACCTTCCTGTAGTCCTGGGGCTGTTCCTCAGCACAGCTCCACGGACTGTGGGTGCTGGGGGGGTTTCTAGGCTGGCATCTGTCCCCAGCTGCACGAGCCTGAACTGCTCACAGGCTGCCTGGGCTCCCCACTGTGGGGTCACTGCTCCCTGCCCTTGGCAGCCCCAGCCCCTGCCAGGGCTCGCTGCAGCCCCTGCCCTGTCTGGGGCACAGCAAAAACACAGGTTTTAGTCTTCCTAAAGGGTCAGTACAGAAGTGAGCAGCCCTCAGAGAGATGAGAAAAGCCCAGCCAGGGATGTTCACATCCCAGGAGGCCAACCATATCCTGGGATGCATCAAGGGGAGTGGGGGCAGCAGATCAAGAGAGGTGATTCCCCCCTTTACCCTGCTCTTGTGAGACCCCCACCTCAAATACTGTGTCTAGTTCTGGTGTCCCCACCATAAAAGGGACACAGATCTGTTAGAGTGAGTCCAGAGGAGGCCACAAAGATGATCCAGAGGCTGGAGCATCTCTGCTGTGAGGATGGGATGAGGGCACTGGGATTGTTCAGCCTGGAGAAGACTCCAGGGGGACCTTAGAACTGCCTCCAGTACCTGAAGGGGACCTACAGAAGGGCTGGGGAGGGACTTGGCACATGAGTGCCCAGCAACAGGACAAGGAGAAATGGTTTTAAGCTGAAGAAGAGGAGGTTTGGACTGGATCCTAGGAAGCAGTTCTTCAGTATGAGGGTGGTGACCCTTAGAAATAGATTGCCCAGAGAGGCTGTGGGTGCCCCT